GGAGCCTTTCAAGCCAGTCATCTCCCCACCATCTGCACTGTCACCTTCGCCTCTAGTCTGCACTGTGGTCGTCCTTGTGACGTCCACGTAGCAACGGCCAACCTTCTCAAATGCAGAAAAATACTTCGACCTAAGTGTAATCATTTCCTGCAGGGCGTCCTCGAGGGCATTCAGCTTCTTCTTGACCGACTCAACATTTACAATGTATTGGCCCCTCTCCAAGCTCCCACCAGACGACTTCCACACCATTGTGTCGTGTATCCCACTCAGCAGCCGTTCCTGTTACGGTTAATGTTGTTGTTGTTGTTCTGCTTGGTGGCGGTATCAGCGTTGGGTATGTCTCTTTCTTTTCGTGTCCTTGGCTCGCAGGCAGCGCAGAGTGGAGGGGAGATTGTGTGAGGGACGCCCCCAGCACAGCGGGAGAAGGAGCAGCAGAGAAAAGCAGCAGCAGCAGCAGCGCCGGAGACGGTTGAGGAGAGCTGCGGCTCAGGGAGAATAGCCCCCAGGGGAAAACAAACACAAAGCAGCAGTCAAATGTGCGGCAGCCGCGAAAACAGTACAAAAAAATATTGCAACAGGCCACCCAAGACAAGGGGACCGGCCCGCCCCACGCCACCCCTCAGTCAGTCAGTTACTCACCCGCTCACTCACAGCCGGCTGTTTGCCCATTCCAGCCCATCAGCACACGCAACCGCCAAACATTGTGTGGCGTTGCACGACGCATTTGCAGCCACGCAGCGTGTCCAACAGGAACGCACCGCCAACAACCGGCACGTAGCAGCTCCATACCCTCCTGGTCACGTGAAGCATGTCACAGGCGCAAAGAGGCCTCAAAGCCCGTCAACCAAATCACACTCCCGCGCCGCTGGATGCTGGAGCGCTCAGTCCCACTGCACCTCTTCCGTTGCCCTTCCCTTTGCCATTCTTCGCCCCACCCCGATAGCCGAAACAGTGAACAGAAACACGGAGTATATGAGTGTGCATGTGTGAGAGAGAAAATGGGTAACGCAGCAGAAGGCGGCGCCGAGTCGGCAGAGTGAGTGGGCATCAAACAAAGCGGGCATCTGTATGTCCGATTAGAAAGCGCATGGAGCCCAATGCGCCACAAAACCATTGCAAACAAGACAAAGAAAAATGTTAAAAGGTGTCCGTACACACGAGTGAAGCCTGTGGCTGCCATGTGAGAGGACAGAAGCAAGAACAAACAAGCACAAGGGGGGAAAGTCGTGCAAGGTCAACAGGCATATGGGCGCGTGCTCCAACTCTTATGTTGCCGGTGTGGCATGGGTGTGCCATGATGAGTGAAGACGTGGCGGCCTGTCTGCAGCAACAGTGTGGGCCCACGCATGCCTCACTTCTTGTCGGCCGCAGCGCACCCCATGCACCTCGAGCAATTCACCTGGATCCTTTTGGCCCTTTCCTGATCATATAACACGCAGTCATACTCGCGTAGATATTCCTTGGTTGTTGTATGTGTACCACCTCCTTCGCTTCAGCATTCAGCTGCCCCACCACACAGCTGCACGCACCATCACGCAGACACAACACGACTCCTCCCATGGATTAGCAAGCAGAATAGTACTGTAAGGTGTATGTCTCACACTCACAATAGCAATTTTAGAAAATTCGATCTTTTAGTTTTTTTTTTGTACAAGCCCCCTAAGAACCATCAATAAAGAATGCACAAGTTCTCGTTGAAGAGGGAGTCCTACCGGTTAGCCCACTGCATTGCATCTCGTATGTATCCGGCGCACGTACCTCCCACTGCTCCGGCACTTGGTGATGAAACTCATGTGGATGATCTGAACCACTAATGTCAATAGCAGAGTGGGTATCAACTGTACTCGGGAGAAGGTACGGGTTCTCAGGCGTGGTAGCGTCGTTAAATGGCTCCTGTCCGACGCAGGGCATCGGTGTTGCGTCACCATTCGGCTGTGCCTCCACACTCTCATCGACGGGGTTCCTTCCCGACGTCTTTGTTGGGGGAGAGTTATCAGCCGCAGGCATTGACACACTGTGTCGAGCAGACTTTACGAGCACCTTAGATATCGACGGGTAGCGCTGGGTGGCATGTG